GCTTTCTCAAAAAACTGGAAATTAGATGTGGTTTCTCTTCCTCATATCATGGAGGCTGGCATGTGTCAGGTGTATCGAATAGGTCGATTACTAAATGATTTTTTTATTGTTAAATGTAACTGTATAAATTAACATTTTAAAATCAATTTTCATAATTCAAAACAGTTTCAAACCTTTTTTTAAATCCTAGAGATAATCTGCTTTATCGGATCTATGTATGATAGGGACCCCGCAAAACCAGAATTTATTTAAAAAATTATATGTTTATTCTTACATGTTTAAACCCGTCACCTTCAAAGTACTCTCCGTTTGATGTAGTATACACTGAGATGCTTTTTCCGCTACTCAAAACAGTTGTTGAACTGTTTGATGCCTTTTAGAGTTTCTGCCATTTTTTGTTTCACCTCTTCCACATCACCAAAACGTTTCCCTTTGAGGACTTTTTTCACCCGGGGAAACAACAAAAATGTTGCTCAGAGAAAGTGAGTGAATAGGGAGGGTGAAGAGTGGTCATGTCGTTTTTGATCAAAAACTACTGAACACTCAATGTGGTGTGGGCTGGTGTGCTGTCATGGTGGAAGGACCAGTTAGTTACCTGTTTGCCACAATTTGGGATGTTTCTTCTGCAACACAGACTCTCACAACAACACTAACTGGCACACTGATGTCGATGGGTTCCTAGAGCACTTACCTAGCAGGGAGAGCCTGTATTACAAAGGAACCACCATCCAAAAGATAATTTGGGTTTTTGGGGGCCCCTTTCATATATATAGTCATGTCTATATAAGACATGTCTTTTACCATGAAACACAATTTATCATACTTTAATCTTGTCTCTCAACATTTCCTATGTAGTATAGCTCTATTATAGGCATAATTTCCTGGGTAGAAGTTTCCATTTCTGCAGAGCAGAGTTTCTTGTAAACCTCTGAAAGGTCTATGCTCAGTTTTTATAAAGGATACAACCACGAAACTTGTATGTGTACTTTCTGTGTCTATGCATTTCTGCAGAAAGGGTCAGTAGCTTCATTTGATTGTTTCAGGGGTAAAATTTCTGATATCCACTAATTCTTCCTCCTTTAATCATTATCGTTTTCAGGAAGTGGAAAATAAACATCTAGATGTTCTTTATAATGTTAGTCAGAAAAAGTTGGTTACATTTAGGCATGCTCAACAAGAAAAACCAAAGATCACAATGGACACTTGATAATGAAACGGTTGCAGAAATGCATACTCACTTCTCAGCCTTTCAGGGGGGTTTCATGTGAAAATAATTATAAGTTAACTTTCTTTCCTCATTCTTTATCAAGCTTTATAAGGCTTTTAGAAATTAGTATTTTTAGAACCAGCCATAGTTTTTTTTAAAAATACACCAACTTGGACTTTTCTTTCTGTTTCCCCCAATTAATTGCAATAATGCTAGGAATAATAAACAACTCAAGAAGAACTTGGAAGAGAGACATTACAGTGGATGTCTCAGAAATTTAAAAAAAGATCATAATGGAATATTATTAACCAATATATTGAACAAATCAGATTACCTAGAAGAAATTAATAAAATTCTAAAAACATACAAAGCATCAAGACTAGAACAAAAAAAAAGAAAGAAAGAAAGAAAGAAAGAAAGAAAGAAAGAAGAAAGAAAGCTACAACAGACCCACATAAAAAGATTTAATTACTTGATGGAAACACAAAATGTGTATTTAATAGCCCATTAAGTATATTTATTGAATAAATGAATCTTTTTTCTACAGGAAATGTCAAAGCAAACAATGCTCTCATTCCTTTGAAAGATTTTCCCCAAGCAATGTGCTTTCTCTAAAATGCATGAGATGCAAAAACTCAGTTCTATCAATAGTTAGACCCCTGAAATTTTATAATTGATATTTTGCATATCAGTGAGTAGATAAGAAATCTAAATTACCACACATTTAGTGGATGTGAGCATTACCCTAATGTTTTGAAATTAATAAGTTTAGTTTAAATTTCCACATACATATAAAACAGTTATTTTTTATACTATCACTGTTATGACTTTCTCTAACATGATAGTATTCATATTTTTAAAACTAAATTTTATTATTTATGAATTATTGTGAACACTGGTGTTGCATTCACCTACATAAATCATTTAAAAAACTGCTTCTTCTTTATATAAAAAGATGCCCAGTGATAAATTAATTTGTGCAATAGTAACTCACGATATATTAGATATAGTCAAAAATCAATTCAGAGAAAGAAATTTACTACTCATCTTTAATTCCCCCTAAGAACTGGAACAAAACAAGGAAACCCACTTTCACCATTCCTACTCAGCATAGTACTGGAAATACTAGCCAGAACATTCAGGCAAGAGAAAGAAATAAAAGGCGTCCACATTGAAAAAGAGGATGTCATATGATCTCTGTCCACTGATGGCATGATCTTATACCTACAAAATCCTGAAGATTCCTCCAGAAGACTCCTGACAAATGACTTCAGTAAATGTTCAGGATACAGAATAAGCATACAAAGATCAGTAGCATTTTTTATACATCAATAACATTTAAACTGAGAACCAATAAAAAAACTCACTCCATTTACAAAAGCTACAAAAAATTTAAAATATCTAGGAATACATTTAGCAAAGGAGGTGAATAATCTCTACAATGTGAACTACAAAATGTTGATTTAAAAAATTGCAGATAACACAAACAAAGGGAAAAATATATCATGCTCATGGCTTGGAAAATCAATATTGTTAAAATGTTAACATTTCTCAAAGCAATTTAGAGATTCAACTAAATTTCTATCAAATTAGCACATCATTGTCACAGAATTAGAAAAAACATTCTAAAATTTATATGAAGCCCCGCAAAAACCTGAGTAGCCAAAGCAATCTTAAGCAAAAAGAACAAAGCTGGAGGCATCACATAGCCTTACTTTGAATTGTACTACAAGGCTATAGTAACCCAAACAGTATAGTACTGGTATCAAGATAGACACCCATATCAATGGAACATAATAGAGAACCCAGAAATAAAGTCGCACACCAACAACCAACTGATATTTTTGACAAAGGTCAACAAAAATAGACAATAGCGAAAAGACACCCTATTTAATAAATGGTGCTGAGAAAATTAGATGGCCATATGTGGAAGAAGCAAACTGGACCCACGTACCTCACCGTATACAAAAATTAACTAAAGATGGATTAAATATTTAAGTGTAAGTCTGAAACTATACAAACCCTAGAAAAGCAAACTAAAATAAACTCCACTGGACATTGGCCTAGGCAAATAATTTATTAACTAAGACCACAAAAACAAATGCAATGTAAACAAAATAGACAAATGAGACTTAAGTAAACAAAAAGTTTCTACACAGCAAAACAAATAATCAACATAGTAAACAGACAACATACAGGTGAGGAGAAAATATATGCAAACAATGCATCTGACAAAAGACTAATGCCCAGGATCTACAAGGAATTCAAACAACAAGAAGAAAAAAACAAATAACTCCATTAAAACATGGGCAAAAGGCATGGAGAGATTTTCTCAAAAGAAGACATATACGTGGCCAGCAAAAAAAGATCAACATCATTAATGATCAGAGAAAAGCAAATTAAAACCACGATATACCATCTTACACCAGTCAAAATAGCTACTATTAAAAAGTCAAAAATCAACAGATGTTGGTGAGGATGCAGGGAAATTGAAAAGATTATATACTGTTGGTAAAAATGTAAATTAGTACAATGTCTATGGAAAACAGTATGGAGATTTCTCAAATAATTAAAAGTAGAACTATCATTCAATTCAGCAATCCCAATCCTGGATATCGATCCCAAGGAAAATAAATCACTATATCAAAAAGGACACCTGCACTCATATGTTTATAGCAGCATGGTTCACAATAGTAAAGTCATGGAATTCATCCACGATGACTGAATGAAGAAAATGTAACACACACACACACACACACACACACACACACACGTATATACGTGTACACACACACATACAATGGAATACTATACAGCCACAAAAAATAATGAAATCATGTCTTTTTCAGCAGCATGCATGGAGCTGGAGACCATTATCCTACATGAAATAACTCAGAAGCAGAAAATCAGACACTACATGTTCTCACTTATAAGTGAGAGTCAAACAATGGGCACACACAAGACACACACACAGTGGAATAACAGACACTGGAGACTCAAGAAGGAGAAAGTTGGAAGGAGGGTGAGGAACAAAAAGTGACCTATTTGGTACAGCATTCACTATTCAGGTAAAATCCAGACTTCACCATCATGCAATATATCCATGCATCAAAACTGCACTTATACCCCCTAAGTCTACTGAAATAAATAAATATAATAAAATAAAATTGATGAAATAATGTAAAACACAATATGAAATTTTACTTTCCATCTACTAATGGAAGAAAAGAAATATTCAAAATCACAAGGAATATATTTGTGTGTGACCTTCTGAAAGTATTTTTCTCTAACCATAATAATTTTTTAGTGAGAAGATTCCATGAAAAGTCACTTTCTGTCATGACTAGGGCTTGATGTGAAATAAAATTAAATAAATAATTATCCACTGATTATAAATATATTCCATTTATACTTAAACTATCATTGAGGTTACTCAGTAACTACATGATTTATTTCATACACGTAGTAATTAAGAAGAAGAAACTATCAGGAAAAATGTATAAAAATAACAAATTTAGTAAAACGAATGACACCTATGTGCTCTGCAGCATGAAATCTCATAGTTCTCTTCCTTTCTGTTTTTATGACAGACAAAATTACAATAGAGTAAAAAGGATCAATTAAGTGTGTATATTTGTATACAATTCAGCAAAATCATTTGTTTTTCTACCTCTGGCCTTAATTATGCCCTTTAATCTACAGTGCATGGATATATGTTTATTTCTCATACTTTCCACTACATTCAAAGGCCAACTTGACTCAGCTAAAGGCACCATCCAGAGACTCACTGTACCTGGCCATATCTGGCCGCCAGATGGAGGGGAGTCCAGTACTGATTGTCTGCCATGTTGAGGTCCCCGCCATGTTCCAGGAGAAGAGACACCACCTCCTTGTAGCCACTTGCACACGCCATGTGCAACTGCAATGAAGAGATATTGTCCTGTTTAACATTTTTTGTAAAAGGAGTCATATCTATGCAATACATTCTGTGGTTTGAAGAGAGTATTTGATACAATGTTGAATCTAAGATATAGAGACCACGAAACAAAACAAAAAACATACTTGTAATTGTATGTATTCGATATAAGTGGATGTCCCATCATTCTTTGAAAGGAAACTCCTAAGTGATTTATTATTTTCCATTTGACTCTGATAGGGTGTACTTTCTCATATAATTCCTGTCATCTCCAGTCCTGTTTTTCAATACAATCTGTGTATTTTTAAATGCAAAATATAATACTTCAATAATTTACTACATCTTCCCCAAAGGTCAAAGATGTGCTCATTAGCACTAATATTCCAGGCACTGTACTTGGTGCTCTAGAAAGGAAATTCAAAGACATAACTGAAAACAGGAAATGTGATAACGGTGAGGCTTATACATGTAACAGGCACAGGAACACTGAAACGGATTGATGAATCCTTGCTGGCTTTAAAATGATTATGCACTTGCTGCTGTAACCGTCTCCCGGTTTAGTCACTTAATGGGATCTGAAGTTTAGAAATGAGGCCTTGGGAACTACCATGATGAGACTGGGGTCTGGAGAATTTTTTATATTTTTTATCCAGAGAAATTTCTGTTTCTAAGGTAGCAGGCTTTATTTCTACATACACTATCATCACACTCAGTTTAAATGAGGCAACTATGTATCCACATGATTTATTTCATAAATGTAATAATTAAGAAGAAACGAAGCCGGGCTCGGTGGCTCAGCCTGTAATCCCGCGCCTTTGGGAGGCTGAGGTGAGTGGATTGCCTGAGCCCGTGGGTTTGAGACCCGCCTGGGCAGCGAGACCTCATCTCTACAATAAAAATTAAAAAATCAGCTGGGCGTGGTAGTGCGTGCCTGAAATTCCGGTTACTCGGAAGGCTGAGGCGGAAGGATCGCCGGAGCCCAGCAGGTCGAGGCTGTGGTGGCCGGGAGCGGCCACTGCACTCCAGTCTGGGTGACAGAGTGAGACTCCGACTCAAAAAAAAAAAAAGAAAAAAAGGAAGAAGAAACAATCAGAAAAAAGAAAGAAATTATGAATTGATGATATCTATGTTTTGTGGCATGAAATCTTGTAGCAGTTTTCTTCCTTTCTGTTTTTATTACAAAGACAAAACTACAATAAAGTAAAAAGGGCTAATTAAATGTGTATATTTGTATAAAATTCAGCAAAATTTTTTCTTAACCTCTGGACTTAATTACGCTCTTTACAATGTACACATATATGTTTACTTTGTACTTTCAACTACAATAGAATGACAAATATATTCATCTAAATGGATAACATCAAGGCACTAAGTTTGACTTAGATCTTCCCATACTTTTCAACATAGAGAATTCATTTCATTAACATTCTAGCCACCAATCCCAAGAATGATATAGCCACATGAATTTTAGAAAATATTATTTTAAATACTTACTCTCCTAGAGAATTAATCTTTCACCTGCTTCTAAATGTATTCTGGATTATTTGAATAATCAAGAGATGACTGGCAGCTACTCTGTGCTGTATGCAATACCATCTGGATCTCAGAAGATTTTCATTTTTAGTATAAAACTGAATCTATAAAACTGAATCAAGAATGGGTTCATTAGCTGGGTAGCAACTGGTACTAATGATGTCAAGTTCACAGGGCCAACCCCAGCAGGAGATTTGCTTTCCATGCAGTAAAAACGGGGCTTTACCATTTAGAATTTAGTCTAATCTGGGCCAGTCATCTCAAGCACAGCTGAGAAGGAAAAGACAGAAGTCCCGGTTCACTTAACTAAAAAAGCCATCCAAAGTGTTGGCTTCCAGTGATCTCTGTGGAGGCTGGCACATTTAATTCCAGGTAATCTCAAAACAAAGACACAACAACAATGAAAAGCCATGATGAAAAACTTCCGCTTCATGAGAGGGATAACAAAATTTTAAAAATCATCATAATGAAATATCAGGAGACATGAGCCTTATTGTGATTCTATTGGCAATCAGCTTCTGAATCCATAAACAAATCAATAGCTTTTGATATCTATTGCACAACAAGGTAACAGCAGTCATTATAACAATGTATTACATAGTTCAAAATAACTAAGAGTCAATTTCAAATGTCTCCCCACAGAATGAGATAAGTGGGGTGATGAATATGTAAGTAGCTTGATTAAATCATTCTATATTGTATAGGTGTATCAAAACATCACACCTTACCCCATAAATATATACAATTGTGATTTGTCAATTTAAAATAATAATGTAAATACATACATAAGTAAAATTAGGATTATTGTGTCCTTATTGACTTAAAACTTAATTTATTCAAATACATCAAACATTTTCCATGCTGTGCAATGTTTGGTTCATATAAAGGCTAACTAGTTGAGAGCTCGCTGTGTACAATAAGACAGGAAACTGGATGATTCACATGCCTGGTCTCCTTGGACCTGCTTATGCTACAAGGTGGCACTATCATTATCCCAATTTAAAAGATGAGATTATGACTCAAAAAGTTTTAAGAGCCAGCATGTCACATCCTAAAGGAATGAAACTGGCCAGAGTGAGTACTGATGTCTGCTGACCAGGGTTTTGCTGGTCTTCTAACATCTGGTTTTTCAGGAAAGCAAAGCATACAGTCATAAGACAGGATCATCATTAACCAGACCAATTCCTCGTCATTGAACTTGTATGTATTTGCTATTTTTTGGTATTTTCTTTTAGGAGTCCATTTAATTGGAAATCATTACATGGGTCTCTTATTATTTCCCTGTGATACATTCTAATTTTAAATAATACATATTTTTTCAATGTCTTCTTGCACGTTACCACTTGCTCCAGAATATTTAACTCCTTTAAACTCCATCTGGCAGTGTATGAGAGAAACCATTTTTATAGACCCTTAGACTTTGCCAGGTTTTACTATTACTTATTCCTAAAATGATTACAAATAAATTTGTATTCATTTATAACAATCCTCAACAATGGTCCTTTTATCAAATACATAGGGTAGTTATGTCTTTTTTTGTGAATTGTCACTTGTTATTTTTAAATTTTCTATTGAGAAAATTTTTATTAAGTTGATCACCTTTTTATTAATTTCTGTAAATTGCATATTTTGAGATTATTAAAACTTTGCAAAATCTATACTCTTGGCACGTAATACTCTTGGTTAATTTCTGTCTCTTTTTTTGCTCATTGTTTGATGCAAAAATTGCTCATTTCAATTTCTGATGTAATCATTGAAAGCAATATTTCTCCTTGTATTTTCTCATCTTATTTTTATATTGGTGTGGCCTTTGCCATCAGGTTTACGCCTTTTCTGCATATATAACTTGGAAAATAACTGTTAATTGTTTTGCAGACACTCCTGTATATGTGCACCTGATTTTTGAAATCTGTATGCAAAATTTAAAATATATGTCTGTTGAGTTACTTCTTCTTGAAGATCTGTGACACCTGACAATCTAAAGTTGAAAGGTCATGCAGAGTCTAACATCATATTTTAACAAAAACTATTTTAGGAGCAAATTAAGATCGCTCTTGAGGAATATCCATTCAAATACCTTCTAGGTTCAGTCAGAATTTTTTGACCAATAATTTCGGGTCTCCCCTCAACTATATTTGTATCATAACCCTAACACAGGATTTTTACTATCTCAGTCTTAACTGAAGTGTGAAGATAATATATATTGCATCCCAAAGTGAAATCACAAACATAAATTTGAAAATAGCTGTCCAAAAACTGCTTAGACAACTTTTGAACTCTTCCTCTAGACTGAGGGTATACTAGAACAGACTGAAGATAAAATGAGAAGAAACATTTAGACCATTCAGAGCATTGTTAGTGTGTTAGGAGTCTACTTTTCCTCCTCACGTGGTGTGTGTGTGTGTGTGGGGGGTGTTGTGGTGCTCCAAACATCAGTTCTTCCCTCAATTCAAGTCAAAGAGAGAGGCTTTAGGGACCACCCAGAAAAGTTGTGTGTCCTGGACAGTCAGGTTTTGATTCCTGCCTGAAACTAGAATAAAAACAATAAAGGAAAAGGGGCAGTCTGGCTACCTGGTGTGCAAGGAAGGTGAGTGATACATTGGGAAGCACTTGCATTCATGAGTTCACAGAAGGAAAAATGTATGGAGGTTTCATTCGGAGAAGTTGTGATCTTTCCCAGTTCTATTTTTGGCAATGCCTGATGGGTAAGCATAGTCTAGCTAGGAGAATCTGGAGTATTCTCAAATTCCTGAAAGCTGAGAACATGGAATGGACCATTTGGAAGAGCGTGCTGCGTTCACCCAGATCCGGGGCAGGCTAGAGTCCCCCAGTGAAGCAGGTGGGTGGGTGGGATCTGAGGAACCTTCAAAACCTTAATAAAGGTGGAGTCAACTCCTTGTTCAGAGTGCATGTAAGTTAAGTGCCAGCAAAAACCTTCTTGCTCTAGTTATCTCTCCTCTTCCCCATCCACTTTCTCCTTCCTCCTGCTTACTTTTGACTTCAGAGTAGCTTAATAAGAGAGTGACGGATGAAGAGAAATGGAAGGGTGGGCCTGTGTCTACTCTCCCTTCTATGAACTTTCCAGTATGACTCGGCAATAAGTCCGGGGCAGGTTCAAGATTTACTGAAGTCAGAATCCTTAACACCTGGGCCCATTGGTCCTTGTAGGGTCTGTAGATAAAATCCAGAGTGTTGCTAATTTGGGTGGGAAAATGGTTAGTTTTTTTTTTTTTCTAATCCCTCACTAACATTTAGGCAAATTTTTTAATGATAAACACAGGCAGCAAACCTATGATGTTACCATCAAAAGAAATCATAACATTTTTAGATCGCATTACCGTTGTGGCATATATCTCAAAATAGCATTCATGTTCAACCTTTAAATCATGATCATTATTAGATTTGTTACTTAGTGAGCTGTATGACGTATCACACAATTAATTTTAATAATATGATTATTGTATACATAATTGGTTTTCGTTGTAATTTTATGCATCTTTTTTTCATTAAATTTAAAACATGATTTAGAAAATGGCTCAATGGGCTGCACCAGGCGCTCAATGGGAAAAATTACACAAAAGGTCTTAAGCTGGGAGTTTTCATTATTATATGGGAACAGACACTCTAATCTCTAAATTGAGGCTATGCTTTGTCACATAAAGTGACCACAAAACTTTCTTTAAAATGATCAGATAATTGATGGCTGTCCTCATCCGTAAGAAAGGGATGAACCAGCACTACTAACATCAAGAAGGGAGATAAAAATAAAATTGCTTGATATTTGCATCTCTCAAATAATTCTTTCCCAACAAACCAAATCTGGCCTCAAGGTCAGATGTTATAGATCAAATTCTGTGCCAACACAGTAAGGAACCAGAGTCTTCATAATATATCTTCTAGTTATTACAGCAATATTTTCAAACAGTATCTATGCACTCAAACTCAGGAATTCATTTTCACATGAGCTGTAACATGTGTGTGTGTGTGTGTGTGTGTGTGTGTGTGTATGTGTGTGTGTGTGTGTGTCCTTTTCTGAGGCTTCTATTTAGTTTTAAGAAGAATATAAAATGTAAGTCAAAAGATACTTTTTAAAAAGCGTTGTAGTTTGTTATTTTATTGCATATTCTAATAGAGGAGGAAAAGGCAACATAAAAACCACCTTCCTTTATTCCTATTTATTCCTATTGAGTCTTTTGTTGTTTGTTTCATCTGTTTTGCACATAACAACTTAACAGTGTGAGAAATTATGCCTCATTTGAGCCACAACTGACATTCCAACTCGGGATATGGAAATCGATCTGTGAACAAAAGTGTCTTCTTATCCTCATCTCCAACAATAGATGAGTACACTATGCATCTTACAGAAAAGTAAGCATCAGGGAACAACAGCTATTAACATAAATAGACTAACCAATTCAGAATCAAACCAAACTGCAACTCTTAAAATGCTGTAATCTTCAAGTGAAAACTTTGTAGCCTTTCTTTCATTGTCAGTTTCTTGTTAAATGCTCGAAGATGATCACCACAAGATTTAGTTGTTACAGAACAATTATTTGCAACATCTATGCTCTCTGTTCAATAAAAATGGTTACAAGAAATGTCAAAATTGCTAAAATGACAGTAATTTGTTGTTCTATATTGATTCATTTAATAGCTCTCTACTGAAGTGTGTATGCTCTCGTATTTAAGTAGTGATTGAAGCATGTATAGTTTTTATTTTGCAGTAATTTTTTAAAAAAAATATGAAGTTATAAAATTTTCTACCATACAAAGAAACAAAGGCTCTGTTTGGTTTCTACTATGTATTAGGTATTAATTCATTACATGCAATCAATGAATAATTAAACAGGTTGCTGCAATCTGACTTTTGACCACTACCAATTCACTGAAACTGTCCTTCAAGAGGAAACCAACAACCTCTAAATGACTATGTCAAATAGTCAGTTCACTATCTCCATGTAATTGACCACTCAGCAGTATTTGAGAGTTGACCATGCCCTGTTCATTGCCACACTTTCTTCATTTGGCTCCTAGGACATCTAGTTCTCTTGGTTTTCTTCCCATCTCTGTTCCTGATCCTTCTCTTCTCATTTATGGTTGACTCAGTCTCAAATCTTCTTTTCTTCTGTGTTGAACTGGTGATTTCATCTGGCATCAAAGCTTTCACTATCAGATATATGCTAATGTTCCCCCAAATTCTGTCTGCAATGGAGAGATCTCCTGAGTTCCAGACTCCAGTGTCTAACCGTGAACTCAGCAGCTCTGTTAAGATGGCTCTAAGAGGCATTTCAAAAGCAGTGTTTTCCAAGCTGATCTGATCTTCCCTGCTCTAAGCCTGTTTGTTGCCAGTCTCCTTTCTCTCATTTGAGGTCGACTCTATCAAACCAGCAGTTTAAACTAAAAATACCTGGAGTCATTCTGAAATCTTCTCTTTAACTCCTTCCACTCACTGGTCAGGAAGCCTGATGAATTGCATCTTTTTAAAAAATATAGTCTGAATTTAACTACTTCTCACCACCTCAGATTCTATCACGGTCATCTGAGCCATGTCATGAATTGCCTGCGTTACTGGAAAAGCCTCATAACTGAACCCTCAGCTTCACCCTAACCCTCTTCCAGTCTGTTCTTAACACAACAGACAGAGTGAAGAATCCTTTTAAAACAAAAGTGGAATCCTTTCCGTCCTCTCTTCAGAACTTTCCAATGTCTTTCCATCCCACTCAGGATAATGACCGTAGTCCTCAAATACTCTCATAAAAATCTGGGTGATCTGATTCAGCTACCTCTGTCTCCTTGTTTACTGGACCTCAGCCATGTGGGCTTTCTTGCTGTTTCTCAACCACTTTCATCCCTGTCCCAGGACCTTTGCACTTCTCACACTTGTGCGCTCTTTTTTCAAGTCCTTACTCAAAACTATCCTTGTCAGATGTTACCTGTCTACCTATCAAAAATGGCAGCAAAACAGTACTACCAACATGTCCGTGTCTTGTTCTGTAATTTCTCCTTTGCACGTAGTACTATATATTTAGCTCATTTGTAGTGCATGCTTTGCATTCTCCTCAATGAAATGTCAATCCATGACAAAAGGATTATTGTGGTTTTGGTCCCCATGATTTTGTTCACAGCAGGTGGTCAATTATATCTCTTCAAGAAGTTATTTAGAACACTCCACCATTGGAATGTGTTATTTCTCAACACACTCTAAACATATTTTATTTTCTTTCGTAACACTTAGAGTTACAAGTTTATAGTCTCCTGAAATTTATAAATGTGCATGTAATATAAAATATGAAAGACAAAATTTAGAAAACTATAATTATAAAATTTTATATGTTTCAAAAGTCTATAAAATTATATAGTCTAAAAATTTTTAGTTTTCTAAGTTTTTCCTTCCAAAATCAATATTTAGGTGATAATTGCAGCTAGAGGTCACAAGGCACTTCATTTTCATTTAATGAATCTAAAAATATGTCCGATCTCATGAAAACCTGTCAAATGACAAAACTCTTGTCCATTTAGCCAAGTGGCTTTCCTCATTACCTCTCTTCAATCCCCCACCGTATTTTTCCATGGAAGAAACTGAATCACTGATTTTAACCACTTCTATACAGTCCACACTTCACAGTCTCATATTTCCTTTTGTTATCATCTTTTACTTTTTGTCATTTTTTCCACCTGGATCTCAATGCATGTTTTTCATCATTTTTAATTTTAACCCAGACATACCCAAGTCAACTTTATGGTTCAAAAGGGCAAAATGTTCTTATTTTGGCAATTAGACATTATGCGTATATTAAGATTTATCCGAATTTTTCTGATCTTTTTAAAATTTACTTCAACAGGGCCTGACATCAATGGAAAGTAATGACAGGAGTTTGAGTTTAGAAATGCATTCTCCAAAGTAACACATAATTTGTTTTGCATAAAACTAAAATGAAAGCAATTGCCTATAGACTGCAACTCAAAATTTTATTACATTAAGTAATGCACAAAAATTATCTTAAATTTGTAGGAAAAAACATGTGGAAAAAAGGTTTGCATAAAACATATCAACATATGGACATTTGGCTGATGGCATGAGTATTGTGCATTTTCTTCCTATGCCCACTTAATTTTTAAAGAATTTTCTACAGTGAATACGTATTGCTTTTTATGATCATAAAAATTATTTGATGGTCAATTATAACCAATCCTATACCGTAGAAATCAACTTAAATTATCTATTTTAACAATTCTGGTGACAATCCTATTAACTTACCAAAGTCACTCCTTCGTCATTTTTCTCATTGACATTGCCTCCAGATGACAGGAAGTGTTTGACATCTGTTAACATACTCATGGGTCTCTGAAGCTTCATCTGACGCAGTGAAGTCAGATCCACTCCTAGGGGGAGAAAGAGCCTTTCAACCAGAATGTAGAGATGCTTCTCCAGTTCCTGGGGGTCGATGCTTCACTTTGTCACCTATTCTTTCAACGTGTTCCCCTTTGAAGCACCTCTTCCACTCTGAACTCTCACACAAAGTATTGAAAGCATTTGTCTTTGCATACATTCTATTTCCCAACTAATTATAGTCTATAAAGAACATAAAATTATCTATTATATTCTAAAGTTATGATGTGACATCTTATACATGGCAGGCTTTCAATGGATATCTGTTTTGGTATAAACCACCAACATACATTGCCCAAAGAACAATTACTTAAATTGAAACAAGTAACAAAGATATATTTTTGCCCTCCATACTTTGTCAAAATAGTTGCTCCTGAAAGCAATGTAGTACCCTGAAATAGAAAAATGACTTTTAGCATTAAAATCTGGAAAAATCTGAATCAAGACCGAAGTTTAGTTCTAACAGTATTGCACCAATGTTCTTAGTTTTGACCAAGGTACCATGGCTATGCAAATACTAACATTAGGAGGTGATTGTGAAGGGTATTTCAGAACTCTCCACACTGCTTTCAAACTTTCCTGCACATCTGAAATGATTGGAAAATAAGCTTTACAAAATCATACTCCAGTTGAACATTTCACAGCCATTAATGTTCATAAATCAACGAACATTGAACGAAGAACCCACAATCAGATTTAACCCAGGTGGATGATTTATGCACAGAAAGCTATTCAGCATTTATGTTGCAACTAAAATTCGATGATGAATAATCTCTATGGTAGCTTGTATCTCATTATTTATGCATTCCCCGCTCTTAGCATTGGTCCCTGGACCAAATAGGCATTTAATTAATCTTCTAAGTGAAGATCATGATGATGGCAATGGTGATATCTCCCTATCAGCAGGTGTTGCTGGGAACCAGCCGTTCTCAGAGCACTTTCTGTTTTTTATCTGATTAAGTTCTGGTTACAAACATCAAGAGAAAGCCTGGCACCATGGGCCCCCAAATAAAGGCGAGATTTGTAGTTCACTTCCTGGGGTTGATTCTGGGAGGGTTACTTAACCTACATGGACTTCAATCCTTAGCCACTCATGTAATAATATATAGTCCAAGGGGATGTGAAGTCATAGTTCATGCTTTTAAGATCTATCTCCATGGCAGAAATCTCATCACACATGTTGCATATCTACTGTTCTTTTTCTCCTTGGGGCACTCCATGTCCACCTCAGTCCATAGCTCATTCTTTGAGCCTGGGTGGGCAACAGGGCGGGGTATTCAGAAGCCAACCCACCAGGGTTTTAATACTGAGTGTACTGATTACTACTTGTGCCATTGTGGGCAAGTAATTTATCCCTTGCCTCAATTTCTTCAACTGCAAAATGGTACTGACAGTTGTTGTTTCACAGGTGTTATGAGAATGAGTTAAAACATACAACAGATTTGGCTTGCAGTCAGCATGCAATAAGCTGTGATTAATAGTCAGCCTTCTGGCAACGTGGACTGTATGCCTTTCATTTATGCGTGTTGTTCTTTGCAAAAAGGAAGTATAGAGCAAGCAAACACAACAAAGCAAAATACGATATTTGAATAATGCAGCTTGATTGAAACACCCTGTTCAAAGCTAACCCATTTAGAACCTGAAATAGAAATACCGGCGACCATCCCTTACCTTCTGAATACTGGCATGCCATTTCAGAAGAACTAACAGATTTCCCTAATAGAGTCATTCAAGGTCTTCATGGAAGAACTCAAACTGTCACTCTTCTCTCATTTTTAGGATTATGGAAATGGATTTGTGATTAAATTTCAGCAAATATAGTTTCTCAAATCTGAGCATTCAATTTTGCATGTGGAAGTACCAGAAGAGTCTTGTAGTTACCCTACTCTAACGTTACATTATTTTTTCCCTTTTACCCTGTTGCGATGCTTACTAACGTTATATGTATCTTTGAAGTAGTTATTTAAAATATTTAAATTGAATAATAAAAAATAGAATATGATAAAAATGAAAGACACAAATTAAAATGTAGAAATCAGACATCAGTCACTACCAACTCATTTACAATATAATATATTAGGGGAAAACAATCTATTTTAGTCACTGTTATGAAGAGACTACAGGGGCATGTTATGACACTGTATCCTAATATTTTAAGACTCAATTTTTAATATGACACCAGTGAAAATGTGATTTTTCGATTTTTAAAAAAATATATTCAGGAAAGAAGCATAAATCTCTCTTTGGTTATACAACATAACCCAAATTCCCTCTTTTCGTGGTCAAACACATTTTCTTGAACTGCTCATGTATAAAACCAACCAAGAAGGGTCATAAGTCTCTTTTGTAATAGATAATGGGCCGATTCTCATCTTTTGGAAGAAATTTAGTTTTATTTTTATATTGTTTTCTGATAAAAAATTAACATAAGGCTTAGTTAGATTTATTAATTTATCAGGAATCTGGTCATTTTTTTAAAAATAGGAATTAAGAAGCAAACTTGTTTACCTAATATTCATAAGTTGTTATAAGTAAAATTATTACTGACTGATCTCATTTGATAGTATCAATGGATACTCCTGCAAAAGTACATTAACATCTCACGTCAGTCTGGATCCTAACTTAACTTTCTTTCATCATCCTTTATAAGGTAACACTGTTTTTGTAACCATCCAGCTTTTCCTTTTCTCCATTCTGCACTGGGGCTGCTCCATGCCACTATTATGATAATTTTATGATTATGCTGAATTGTGCAGTTGTAAATTCTCCTCAGGTTTTAGGAGCATACTGTTCTGCCCCTCTTCCAACGTTTTTTTACCTTCTTGCCTTGGTACGTAATACTCCCTATCCCTGATTACTGCAACAGCTCGGCTGGTTTTCCCAGGGTTGTCACAGTCCTTCACCTAAAACTCGGTGTAAGCACCGTTTCTTCTGTGAAGTTTTCTGTGGTACTCTTAGGGAAGGTAATATCCTTCTTCCTTGGAGTTTTCATGAGATCTGCACACATCTTATTTGTATGTGTTGTCATATGTGATTGTGTTATCATTTGGTCCTACATAATTCACCAGTTTTGCATCCTAAACACAAAACCAAACAGGCATTTGCAATGCACTATGATATGATGCAACCCCCACGGGATTCTCTAAGCTCATAAAATTGCAACTAACCCTGATTCTTATCATCATGGTAAGCTTCCTAAGAGTGCCAAGGAGTGAAAGAGTTGGGCAGGCAATTAAAGAAAGGTGGTTCCAGCAAAGATAAATGAACACGTTCAAGTCAAAAGGGTATTGCTACTCTCCACTTACCTTTTTCTCCTAACATTGACAGCAGGCCCAATGTGGGACCGTCTCTTGCAGTCATGCAGACTGTACTCTCAACTAGGCATGAATCTGAAGGGGTTGGTGCAGCAACAGAATGTTGAATAAACTGCATTTAACAAAACATTTATGAAAAGATTAATCCTGTGGTCCTCTGCAGAATGACTGGGGTAGACTAAGCCTGGGGCCAGAAGACCAGTTTCAAAGACTGGTGGAATAATCCAAAATAGAAAGATCAGTGTTTTAAGTAAGTCAGTAACAGTATGGTTAGAAAGGGAGGTAGAGAGATGTCAAATAAGTAGAATCTGTAAGATTTGGTGACAATTAGACATGAAGGATTAGGGAGAAAAACTTGATGTTCAGATAGCTGGGTTCCTGGCTATTATGGCAAAATATAGAATACATAGAGAGTATGAAAGGATAATACTAAATTCCATAGTGACATGTTATTTCAAGTTATCTGACATCCAAGTCAAGGTGTTTAATAAAATCACACATACTGAGGCTCTTGAAGGATAATGAAGCTGCAAGAATATTCTTGGGAACAGACAGGTGATAACAACACAAGGAAAAGAACGTGCTAACCCAGGAACCATGCATGGAAAGAGAGAAGAAGATTCTCCCAGACAAAGCTCTGGGGATGACCAACATTTAAGGAACTGGATAGAAAAATGGAGCAGTCAGAGGAAACCCAAGCAGGAGCTCGAACAGAGGAGAGAAAGTTATGGGAAGATCATTGCCAGAGACAGAGTTTCCCTAAAGAGTGTGACCAAGGTCATTGAATGTCATAGAGATGAGATCACATAAAAGGACACAAAGGTGATCCCTGGATAGGAAACAGAGGACAGTGACAGCAATCATTGCAGGGGCATTTCCAGGTGATGTGGAGTGTCAGAAGATGAAATTCAGTGAGACGAGTCACAGGGGATCAGGAACTCAGGAGACTAAACACAAATATGCTTCCTAACAGAATGGGCTTGAAAGGGGGCCAGTGAGTGTGAACAGATGCAGAGGCAAATGAAGCTTCTGTTTTCTTTCAGGGACAGGTGTATGTGTGTGTATATAAGAAGGGAACCCAGAAAACCAGAATCTACTTATAAAAAATTGTGCATTCATTCTTCCATGTTTAAACTTCAGTCACCTTCAAAGTACTCTCCCTTGGAGGCAACATGCCTATCAAGATGCTTGTTCCATGGCTCAAAACAGTTGTTGACCTCAATTCTGATGCCTTTTAGTGCTTCTGCCCCTTTTTTTTTTTTTTAGTTTCACCTCTTCCACAGGGGCAAAACATTTCCCTTTGAGAAAGTTTCATCCAGAAAAAAACAGAACAAAGTCGCTCAGGACAAGATCAGGTGAATAGGGAGGGTGGGGCACGGGATTCAGGCCATTTGGGGTCAAAAACTGCTGAACACAGCACTGCAGGTGCGCTCGTAAATCACCCATCATGAAATGGGCGAGGTCGTTGAAAGAATCTCCAAAAGAATATTCACTGAAGCCAAACGCCATCTCTCACAAGAACACTAGCTAGTACACTGATGCTGATGGGTTCCTAGAACACCTACCTAGCAGGGGAAGCCTGTAGTATCAGGACCCCACCATCCAAAAGATAATTCCGGTTCTTTGGGGGTTCACTATACATATATATGTGTGTGTGGGGGTGTGTGTGTGTGTACACACACACATATAACATTATATATAGCATATATGATTATATATAATATGTAAAAGATTATATATAATGTATATACTAATTATCTATACATAGCATCTTTCGTCCTAGGCCACCTTGGGTTCTCCCGTCAGTGTTTTCTTTTTAATGCCAGCTCGTTTTATAATCGATTGCCTTCCTTGCTTGCCAGCTGGTTTGCCTTGCACTGGAGATCTAATATTCATCAAATGCTCAATCAGCTCTCCGTGGTTGTCTCGTTTGACAGCCTGGCAGGCTCAGGCGGTGAGCCGAGGTTAATTGCTGTCCCTGAGTTTACAGTGTAAGCCGGTGGTGACAGCACAATTAGGACTTGTGACCGGTGATTTTCCGTGTAATCAACTTGCTCGCGAAGCCGCCTGCCTCCCCCTGCCACGTGCGTCCTGATGTGACAGGGCGATAAGTACTCTGATGTGGAACCGCACGGCGCAGAATGAAAATTCTAAATTCTGGGATTGTGACCACCTGGTTATAATCAGGCAATGTTGAAATACTGAGAGCCAGAGAATAATACAAATCTGGTCTTGGGATATTGGGAACTTCTAAAGCCATCAGTGCATGCTGTCACAGCAGATAACTCAGACAGCGCACCAACCAGAGGACTCGAGAATAAATCGAATTAGACGGTATTTACTAGGAACTCCAGCAGATGACACAGATAAGCAGGAGGGAGACCAACCTAAGCAGAACCAGACTGTGAATGAGGTGAGGGAAAGGCAGATGGACCGGAAGGCAGGGGCCGGGGCTGCATATAACAAATGGCAGACAGAATTAAAAACTGACACGATATTAAATTGAGTTTGCTCCAGCAAACATGTATTTTACAAACTGATTGTGACAGTCATAGTAGTGACAGATTTTCTACTAACCATGCAAAAGTCAATACCTTTCTCTTGCTGGTTGTTTTCTTAATCGTTTTTTTAAAAATCAGCCTTCCAAAGAAATATATTTACTTTTGTTCTTGACACAGGAAAGATAATGCTGACCTTATCGACACGACTATGTCCTGTCAAACAAAATGCTCTAACGAGTTGGAAAGGTTTATAAGCACTGTCAATGCTTTTGCAAATAATGATAATTTTATTTTCTAAGAAGAAACACTTATTGCTGTGACTTTTAGAAATTCAGACAGTAAGAAAAGTAGGAAATTATAATCATGTAGAACTGCAACAGCTAAGCCAAACACAGTCAAGTTCTTTTTTTAAAAATTTGGCATCAGAAGTTTTGTTTTATTTTCTAAACCACTTTGTTGAAGTATGACTGACCTCAAAAAGTCATACATATAAAGTGTATACAACCCAATAATTCTGCAGATAAGCATACACCTCTGAAACCATCACCCACGTTGTATACCATAAACATATCCATCACCTCCAGCTTTCCTCTCACTCTCTTTATTTACTATTATTTTTGTTATTATTCGGACATAAGAACACTTAACACAAGACATATCCTTGTCCCTGGGTGCTGTGGCTCACACCTGTAATCCCAGCACTGTGGGAGGCTGAGGCAGGAGGATCGCTTAAGCCTGGAGTTCAAGACCACCCTGAGAGACATAGTGAGACCTTTCTCTACAAAAACTGAAAAAAAGAAATTTAGCCAAGCATGGTGGTGTGTGCCTGTAGCCCTAGCTACAAAGGAGGTCAAGGTGGAATAATTCCCTGAGTTCAGGAGGTTGAGACTGCCGTGAGCTGTGATGGTGCCACTATACTCCAACCCAGATGATAGAAAGAGATGCTGACCAAAAAAAAAAAAAAAAAAAAAAACCCAAACAAACAAACTAAAAACTGCCCTCTCAGCAAGTTTCTAAGTATACAGCACAGTGTTGTTAACTATAGGTGCCATCAGACCAAATTTTTCAAGCAAATTCAGAATTATGAGCCACTGGTGATAATGAACTTCCCAACAGTAAAATCTGCACAATTTAGAGCCTCCTTCCTTTTACAAGTAAAGGATTTTGTGTCCAAAAAGCCACTGTTAACAAGATTCGAAGAAAATGAGTGAGCTTCTCTTTCAGTGATACATAGGTGAGCAAGTGAGCTACAGAGGGACGACTGACCCAGCCTGACCCAGCTCTGTCCCAGAGCCCTGACGTGTGATCCTCACTGACATATTATCCCCATCAAGATAACAATCCCTACCTTGCTTTCACAACTGATGAAACCATTTTTTTTAAAGAACACACTGCTGCAAAATATTAACCATTATTATTCTAAGCCATCCTCACAATAAACCTTCTTCATAAAAGCAAGCTGGAGGAGCCTAAGAACACAAAGAAATAATAAGGCAGATGTGAAATCTTAGAGGCAAAAAGGAGAGCTTCTTAAGCACTGTGTGCGCTTAGAAAACTAAACTTTTTCTCTGACCAAGGGACATCCTTGAAAAGATGGAAGTTTGTGGTTGTTGTTGTTGTCTATACCCAAACAGCGGGGGGTAAAAATGGAGGTGCATAATTCTTTAGTTTAATACTATATCAAGCCCAGAGATTCAAACATCTCCCATTGTCTCAGGGCAGCACTTACTCATGAGATGACTCACAGGGTCTGGGTAATTATACGTCCTTTGTCAGGGAATATATGTGGGAGTTCACACGCATCTTTCAGGCTAACACCATGATCACAGAGCTTTCTTCCGAAGACTTCTGTGTTCCTATGTGTCACAAGAAGTGGATCCGCGGACAATGCAAAAACTGCCCTTGACTTTAGCCCTCACTTACTTGCATGTAACTCCTGACTCGGACCGCCCGCCCCTAAGAGAACACACTTCAGATGACCTTGCTCTTGTTAGCTCAAAATTCAATTGTGCCAGTTCACTTCCCTCCCCCTCCCAGGGGAGAGTAGGTTATAATTACAAACCCAGTCCGCTAATTATGGACTTGAGAGGTCTGTTCAAATGTTCCTCCGTTGTTAGCCTCTCGATTTCTGCTGGCTTGCAAAAGTGTACATGGACTAAAACCACCATGCAGCACACAGGGAGAGTGACAGAGAGTGGAAGAGAAAAAACACCTCATTTTACACCTTCTGGGGAGATGGCAGCAATCCAAAATCATTTAAGTATATCTAGAAAAATAAATCGATGCTTTGAATTCTACCAATTCGTGTCTTTCTATAGTTCCACAAAGCTTTTGCCTACCCTTTTCATCCAGATAAGTCAACAGGATGGCACTGGATTCCGTTCCTTCTACGGCATAATCCAACGGGATGTTTCCATTGACATCCTGGAGGAGGACATTGGCTCCAGCCTAGATTGAGAAGAAAAATTAAGAACACTAAGCATACTGTGAAAATAAAAAAGCAGATCAAAAGTTTCGCTTCAATCTTAGTTGAGAAACAGATCCAGGAATAGATTATGTTAGATGCAACCCTGAGGAGATATGTGGGAAACTGGAATTATTTTTTAAGATAACTAGATAAAATGACTGTGGTCCAAAGTTCTCGAAAGTTTCCACTGACTCTTGTCAAGACCTTGGCCCCAGCTACCTCTCCCCACCTCTGTTGCTAAACCCCAAATTTCAAATCAGTGGCCACTAACCTATTCCTCTGTGTTGACTGCCCCTGTCTAGTTTCCAAGCTGGTCTGGCTTTTAACCCCATAGAAGTGTCCAACGACTTTAAAGAATCTACAGGGAGAACTCTTTTACGAACAAGCTGAACTTTGACTGAACTTTCACCATCTAAAATCTTTAAGCTCCTTGATTTCCACAGAAGAGCATCTTCGGGAGCATCTGGGAGCTCTACACACAATGATGTTTTTGTAAAGGCCTGGGCTAATGGGTCCAGGTTGGTTTTTTCTTTCCAGAAACTATTTTCTAACAACAGGCATAATCTTAGACGTTAGTGGATTGACTGTATTCTATGTGGTTATTCCACATCTTTTGGCCTCAAAGGGTGCTTCACCAGTATAGTACCTCTGAGCACCACTTTTTTACCCACTGCTCATTTCAGCTTTAATACAATGATAGATTTGCTCTGAGTCTTTTAAAAAAATGGCCACATGAAAGCACATCACTGCTCCACACTCTTTAATGAGTGCCATAAAATTTATCTTGCATGGCTAATATCTTTTCTCCAAGGGCATGGTGTGAATAGACACCCACTGTCTGCAATTTTCCATACACCTCCCAATATCATGCCATTAAACTGAGGTCAGACAAATAGAGATTTCCCCTAATTCTTTTACAGAATAGGATTCTGTGTCGTAATGCTAGAACAGTTCTCATGACATCTATATTCATAACTTTATATAAAAATGTGATTCACATTCACAATTTTATTATCAATACGTAGGGTTTTTGTCTTCTGTCATTCTATAAATACAAAAGGTTCCCTGTAGAGATTTTCAAAGAATATTCTAAATATATTGTAAAAAAAGCAAAAACAAAAACAAAAAACAGAAAAACAAAATATAGGCTAAAGTGGTACAATAATCTATACTTTAATATTTTCCCCTAAGATGAGTTGAATCGCTTGCCTCACCATATTGAGGGAACCACACCGTATCTTTAAAAACTTTGTAAAAAATACTTCTTTATTTGAACAGAGCAAGTAATATATTTCAAGTTTTTATTTACCTAAGAAAACCACATCATTCTAAGGCTGTAAAGACTTCAAATGATGTTTTCAGTGTCTTTAAGTTAATTTTAATGAATTGGAAAAAAAAACACCTTACTTCAGGCATATTCTTACGTAGACATTGCTAATGATTCTTTTTATTTAGTCTCTAAGCTACAAGATTAAGATTTTGCATTTCTACTCAAAAAAACAATTGTTTAGGAATCAATCAACAAGAGACAGAACTACAGACTGCCATTACTGATTTCAATATTAAGTGTTGAATCTACTCCACTCCACTAATCAGTGGGAGATCACCTTTCCCAATTCATAAATGTTTCAAGTAAAATCTTGCATATGCCAAACACCTGGGCACAGGGTGACAGTGAATATAATTAAGAGTCATGCATTATTAATCAGAAATAAAAATAAACAGGAAACTACCTTAGCGTTATGATGGAGTGGTACACTTAGAAGGATTATTTTCTATTATTTAAGAAGTAATGAGGCTTTTTCAGAGAAAGTCTGAACCTGAAACATGATGTTGAATATCTTAGCTGGGTTCAGTCACTGAAATTTCAACTCATTAATGGCTGATGCTTCTGTGCTGCTAAATTACCACGTATTATTCCCCACATAAAAGCCAGCCTTCCTGAGGGTTGAGAGTTGCCCTATTCACAGATCATGTCTTAATTCATTTCATGCTCTCAGCACCCACCAAAGTGCCTGGCACATATCAGGAACTAAAAAGGATTTCTTGAGACAAACTGAAAAAGAAGAAGTCAAGAACTGAACTTAAACCAGTTACTGATAATTGAGGCCAATAATTTATAATACCATAATAATTCCTTTAAACTAAATATTCTGACCTTTATGTTCAAGGGTTTATAGATATAATGGCAAAATCACTATACTACCTTCACATTTTCCAGACGGATAACATTTGTGAAAGAATTTCTCCTTATCTTATTTATTTTCACTTATTCTTTCTTTTGTTCCTTCTTTCTTACTTGCTTTCTTTCCTTCTTTCTCTTCCTCTTTTTCTTCCTTCCCTCTCTCCTTCTCTCTGTTTTCTTTCTCCATCCTTCTTTTTCTTTCTTTTTAATTGCAAAGATGCAAAAAATCTATTGAATTAGTCAGTCGATGGGCAGAGTTTTTTTAAAAATCAGATGTCAGTAATTTTATGACAGTTCATATTCTTAAATCCCTTACAATTATTTACTAAGTTTTTAAAAATTTATAATATCCGCTTTATCTCTCTCTCTAGTTAAACAATGTGCATTAATTCCAATGTTTCTCCCCCCTCCCCACTACACTTTATGTTCAGATAACTATTCCTAATATTGATTTTGTGAAGGCACAAATTTTGGCTAAACACAAAAAACTAAAGTAATATTCCTACTGTTTTTTGAGCTACTACACACGACAGTTAAGCAAAAGGAAAGAGTATTTCTCTCTATTTAATCCACCAAAGTAATCTGTTCTCAATGAAGCCTTTTGGGGCTAGCTGCTGTCAGGAAGTGGAACCCTGAAAACCTTGACAATGAAAGCAAAGTTTGTAGGTTCTACGTTGTGCCAACTCCCAATCAACCATCAACTCCAGGTCCACCTGCAGGGTCCCATACACAAGCCTCCTTCACCAGCTGGACCAGTATTGGGTCTTGTCAGTCGAGGGCGATGGGGGAACACGGCAGGAGGAAGGGGCGTCTCCTTCAGGCTTTTGCTCGAGGACTTGGGGTCCTCTTGTCGGTGTGTGCAAGACCAATGCTGCGTATCCTCTCGTAAGTTTCCCTAGCAGCCCAACAGGAAGTTTCTCTTGTACCCCAGCAAATGACCCACCAATTACTTTTTCTGGCCCCCACCTGGGAGCTTCCTAACTAATTTTGTGCTGGTTCCTGAGTTTCCTGCTTCCCAGGGTTGACCTGAAGCACCTCCCTGAATTTGCATCCATCTTGTAAGCAATAGCCACATCCTCTCCACTGGGGGCTGATCCCCATCCTGGAGGATGGGGCACTTCCCAGGCCCGCACCCCTCTTCCCTGGGTATCTCCCTCAGTCTCAGAAGCGAGATCTGCTCCCTGCACCTGCTATTCCTGTATTCTTCAGCTATCCTGGTCACATTAAGTCATTGCTTCCTTTTCACTAGTTGACTGTTATTTGGATTCAGTCTTTCTAAGAATATTGGTGGGAATTCTAGATAGATGTTTGCAGGCTATCTTTTAAGAATAGGGTGGTTACACAGGATGGACCCTCAAAGATAGGATTTGGGGATTAGTGCAGCTTTCCTGCAGGACTTGAGTACACTGCCAAGTCCCAAGCCAGCAGGAAACCAGATGTTAGTAATTCAGCATGGAGTGGCATCACACTATGGGTGACTGTGCTTTAGTGTACACTGAAGCAAGACACTTGTGTGTTTCCGTGGCTGCAGCACTTAACCAATATGGCAGAAACAATGATGACAAGGAATGTAGGGTGTCATAGATTCCCTCTCCGAGTTTTTGTAAGACTTACAGAACGAACAAAAAACCCCAACAGGCTTAATTAAGCCCTGTAACTATAGGCAACAAGTCATAATATGAAAACCAGAAAGGTTCTATATTAGCTTTAAAATAATGTTTCATATTGAGAGCGTCTATTGCTGAAAATCAAATACAAAATTTAATTGTATAGGTTGCTGAATTGCAGTGTCAGTTGAATTCACAGTCTCATCACATTTTTATCTGCTGGTTCCCAGGAACCGGGATGGAATGAGATCCTGAAACAGGAAATCGGAGTACCTGGTTGGACTGAGAGGAAACAGACACTCTTGAACCCTCAAGTCACCCTGAGCATCCCTCACCAGGGGAAGTAGCTTATCCTCCCATACCTGAAAAGATTTCCCTTTGTTGGCTTAAAAATTCTGCGATGACTTCACCTGAAAAAAATGCCTTGAAAATAGGTGGCTGTTTTCTTCTTGACCCAGTATAATCACCTGACTTTGACTAGATTCATACCTAGAGTGAAATCTCTGTATTCTTTGGGGAAAGTAAACACTTGGATTAAGTAGCTTACACATCAAGAAACATGAATGATTTTTTCATATGTGTGTGCGTGTGTAATACACATATTTTATATCTGCAGCCAAAAGCCAAAATTCCCACTAATAATTTTAAAAATACATTAAATGTAGGCCAGCACAGTGGCTCATGCCTGTATTCCCAACATTTTCAGAGACTGAAGCAGGGAGGACTATGTGAGTCCAGGAGTGTGAGACAGCCTGGGCAACACAGGCAACACTTATCTCTACAAAAAATTTAAAAAATTGGCCAGGCGTCGAGGCACATGCCTATAGTCCCCGTTACTTGGGAGGTTGAGGTGGAAGGATCACCTGAGTGCAGGAGTTGGAGGCTGCAATGAACTGTGACCGTGAACTGCATTCCAGCCTGGGTGACAGAGTGAGATCACTCTAAAAATTAGAAATATAAATAAATATAAATGAACTAGTAAAATAGAAACAACTACTTGATGTAATCAAGAGAACTCTGAAGAAAACAAGAATAGAGGATGTAGGAAGTAGATATAACTTCTGGTGCTGAGAGACATTCTCCCAGGTACAAGTTTATATATGGAGAACCCATATATGGAAATTATTGATTAAAAATTGTGCATTTATTCTCACATGTTTAACTTTCAGTCACCTTCAAAGTACTCTCT